AGTGTTTCTACCTGCAGTGTCTCGCCTTAATAACATGATATGGATAGATATGGAATATGATTTTATACCGATCTCAGTAATGGGCATCATGTGCTGTAGCTTTGATTGATTACTGATTTACATAATAACACATCGCTAACACTTAAGTTTAAAGTCGCTTATTATCATGCATAGTACTACGACATTGGCTATTATACTACAGGGCTGTTGAATGCTTGATTCTGATTGGTTGAGAACGTTCTAAGGCAGGGGTTCCCAAACTTTTCCATGCCAAGGCCCCCCAAATACCACTAGCTTCTGGCCAAGGCCCCCCTTCTGTAGGATGTGTTATTGAACCCATCGACACTACTACAGCAAATGTAGAAATAAATAAAACCTATAGGTGAACATCAGATTATGTGATGGTGTTTGATACCAGCCTATCAGAAAGATTATAGAGATGCACCTATTACAATTTTCTAGGCTGATTACAATTTTTCATTGAGTTTGACCTGCCGATACAGATTTTAGCCGATGTGATTTCCTTTTTTCTAACCACTTTACAACACACAAATATTTTTTCTTTCTTTCTTTCTCTCTCTCTCTCTCTCTCTCTCTCTCTCTCTCTCTCTCTCTCTCTCTCTCTCTCTCTCTCTCTCTCTCTCTCTCTCTCTCTCTCTCTCTCTCTGTTGAAAAGACAAGACTGTTTATATACAGTATTTTTAGTTTGCATGCAGTTCCCAGGCCGACCATTAGGGGGCGCAGCCATTTGTGAATAAGGAAAGCCTCTGTGTTTATTTAGTCGGCCCAGAGCATCGGTGATAGTTGCATGTTCCCTCGTTTTTTCTTTTTCCTTTCTTCACTGTGTGCGTCCTTGAGACAGGTGGGTGTTTAGCTATGCAATGTCTGTAATGTTAAAATGTATAAGAGTGTTACTAGAGTATGTTGGACATTATTTTTTCTCATTCATTGTTGTTAGCACTTGAGCTAAGATGTTAAGACAAATCATGTTTTTTCTGCGCACTTAATGCTCATTCTATTTATGTTTAGTTGGTTGATAGCATCCTATTATGCTAGTGCAGTCACCTGTATGTCAGTTCTGTTGATTAGTAGTGTAGTAGTGTCTATTTATGTGTAATAGCAGTAGTCATGCGTAGTGGTGAAGGCTTTCGGGCCTGCGTGATAGCATGTGACTGCTTTATTACAGTGAATATATGGTGAATTCTACCTATTATCTTCTTTTGGTTAAATTCTCATTTCCCCAGGCTATATTTACACTACTATATTTTGTTATTTGTATGTAAATGGTAATTAATATTTCTTTTACTGTCTGTTTTGTTACAGAACCACACACGTATATGTAACTAGTCATTCTATACTCTCCCATCTGAAAATAAAAAACCATAAAGATCCATCCATCCCATTGCATTCTAACCGATGCACACTCCGCGATCACACCACTATTGAACCACAGTAGTAGGAAAGTCTCCATAACACTCTCTCTCTCTCTCTCTCTATATATATATATATATATATATATATATATATATATAGCATATATATATATATATATATATATATATATATATAACATCATATAGTTTTACCCAAACTGAATAATTAAGACAAGTTTAAGTTTAAATGGGTAAATTTTCTATAAATATTTTTGAGTCTTCATTTTCTTTTCTGACATAGCCTACTCCAGTTCTTGTTAAAACACACTAGACATGCAAATTATGTGCATTTTAGGCACTTTTTGTGTGAAATCATATTTATTTTGTCCATCAAAAGTGTGCTTTCACTTTAATTGAGTGTGATCTGCGCCGCAAAAATAGATTGTGCCGAAACCCGCTTCACTGCTGCTTACGCGACGCTCCTGCTCGCGCTGTGAATGCACTCATTGATAACATGTACGCCGAAAAAATACGCGCCTCTCGCGCTTGAGATCTGAAACGGCCGTAATTCACGAGGTTTCCTACATGTGCGTTCCGTGTGCATGTGGGATGCTGATGTTGCGCGATGTTAATCATGCGGCGCCCGAGTGCATTAGACCGGCATAAAATCAGCATGTCAGACTGATCGGCCGGTCGACAATCACATGAAAATCGTCCAATTCCGGTCACCAGCCAATCTATCGGTGCATCTCTAAAAGATTAGCATTACAAGTATAATGTTCAGATAGGCTATGCACAAATTATTATAATGCTATTTCATTACAATACTCATAATAATATAAATATAAATATTTTTACTTTTTTTTTTTTTTTTTTTTTTTTTTTACTTTTCTTCCAACTTGCTGCGGCCCCCTTGGCGGCCCCCAGTTTGAAAACCCCTGTTCTAAGGTGTGGAATTATTTTCAGGGAAACGCATGGCTAAAGTAGTTCCAGGCAGGTTTGACCGCAAGTTCCATATGATACAGTTCCATATCAGCAGGGCCGTGCACAGGGGGGTGGCCCGGTGGCTAGAGCCACTGCCCTTCTGCCCTCATCAGCTGAGGTGCCCCTCTCGCCCCCTCCCTAACCCTCCAGAGGATTTCCATAAAAAACGTTATGTTATCGCTCAAGAATTTTCGCACGTTAAAAAATAAATACGACCTCACGTTATGTCAATCACACTTGCACACTGCCTCCGAAACTTTCGTCCGTCATAAAAAAATCTAATCGGGTAAAAATCTAATCGAACCGTAGCCAGCAGTTTGAATGGAGTTTGAATGGAGTTTTGACAAATCAGAGCGAACGAATCACGAATACGAAAAAACGCAGT